TGAGTGTGTGAGTGTGTGTGTGTGTGAGTGAGTGAGTGAGTGTGTGTGTGTGCGCGAGTGAGAGTGTGTGTGAGTGAGTGTGTGAGAGTGTGTGTGTGTGTGAGTGAGAGTGTGTGAGTGAGAGTGTGTGTGAGTGTGTGTGTGTGTGTGTGAGAGAGAGTGTGTGTGAGTGTGTGTGTGTCTTACAGCGATGGCCTGAATTGTTGCGAGATACAGCAGAGCCAGATCATCCAGTGTCTGTGATAAAGTGAGACCCACAACCTGCACAAACGCATCAGTAAACACATCAAACCACTATCTAGCACTTCAGAAATTAGTCCAAAAACATAAAATAATATTTTATATTTCCTTAACACCTTAAAAAAATAACACATTTTATTTGACCAACAAAATCAAGTTCTTTCTAGGGCCATTAAGATGTGACATTTACCATGACATCAAGCACATTTCATTTCCCACTTACACTCACATTACTGTCCTCAAAAATAAAGGGGGGGGAAGATACTAAAAAATATTCCCATTAACCATTATAATGCATTCAAAGGTTAATTTGGAAGGATTTTGTTCCCCATTCTAATTATTCAGCCTAGCAACACCCTAGCAACCACTAAGAACACCCTAGCAACAGCTTAGCACTCACAACACGACATCCTAGAAAGTACATAGCAACACCCTTTAATTTTTATCTAATTGTAATGAAAATAATATCTCGACAATCTCAAAGTTCCTCCAAATAATCTTCCTGTTCTGTATCTTGTGATCAGAAGTGAATCGTGAGACACTGATGATGCGGATCAGCGCCGGAGGAGGCGTGTCCTGCTGCTCACCGCGCCGCGGGCCGTCTGGTCGGCCAGAGGAGAGCGGTTGCCGTGGAAATCAGGCCAGACGTGCAGGCGGGCCGTCAGCTGCTCCAGCTGCGCTGCGTCTGCGCTCATGCCCTCCAGGTGAGCGTTCAGGTACGAGTAAACCTGCTTCCCGCTGCACGGAGCAAACCGGTGAAATGAGACGGAGATCAGAGAGATCAGACGAGGATGACTGACAGACACACACCTGCGCTCCGCCTGCTCCTCCAGCTGCCTGTACGCCGCGTGTCCTCTCACCACATGCTCCACCTGAAAACACACGTCAGATCCCTGCAGCTCATTCGCAGTTTGATGGCGTGTTTCATAATGATGGGTTCAGTACAAATGCGAATGCTCATGATTCTGAAGCGCTCGGCTCTCACCAGGCGTCCCGTGGCGCTCTGTCCTCCCTCATTGAGCCACAGCCCCGGCAGCATGGCGGAGAGATACGGGCCCCAGACCCCGGGGACGAACAGCGGCTGTGTGCTGACCTGAGAGACCAACACAAACACACGCTAAGATTCAACCATCACTGGATCTGACACAGACACAGCGTCACGTCAGAATGAAGCTCACAGCCATGTGACATGAAGACGTGCCGCATATGAGGGCCATACGGGACGAGACCGGCCGATGCTCGCAGGGCAGGTGATGCCCCGTCACGTCTGCTCCCATCAGCCCTACACAACAACCAGAGAAATCACTGGAATTACACACGACTGTACAGCGGAGCAGAGGACAGAAATCTAATACTTATCACCACACTTCCCCAGCTCATCAATTACAACAAGAATGGGAAACATTGTAGTATTCTGAAATGTTATGTTTACATATGCAAATGAGGCATTATCTAATTAAATATGAACTAATTTGCATACATTTCCACAACATAAATCTGAAGCCTGAATAAATCCAGATTCATAATCTTGTTGGATTTTGTTGACATTTTTAAAGGTTTTTCCATAAATCAGAAAATACTGTGAACAGACAGAAAACAAACACATTTTCACCATGTTTATGAGTAAAATGTCGTATAAATCCGTGTGAATGATATATGAACAAACCTTCAGAATACAGAGAGGAATAAAACTAAGTTTTGGTGCATGTAAGAGAAAAAAACTAAATATATAGATTGGAGTTTAAATCTACAGACGCAAATAGATAAATCGCATTAAAATAAACACTTAAATGTGTATTTTGTGTGTTTTTTCTCCACTAGTCTGAAAGAAGACATGATATGGAAGCAAAACAGACCAAAATCTCAACTGTTCTTATCCTATGAGAAGACGCTTCGCTTAATTATTCACAACAGCATGTGTTGATTTGCTGTGACAGACGCTTCAGACTGTGACATCGCTGCACATTAACTGAGAGAAACGTTCATGGATGGAAGAAGAGTGTTTGTTTTTGCTTTGCAGTAAGAGTTCGGCACAAACACGATTCATTCACTTGGCGAGCATAACCGTTTTTACAGCTCTGTGACACAACCCGTCAAAAGGCTTATATAAACGCCACAGAATAAGCCTTAAAAGTTCTCAGAGGTGCAACAGCGCGTTCATATATATGTTTTCCATGCAGAGTGCAAATGGCTGTGCATTTATTTGTGTTTTTAACTCGATAAGAACGAAATGAAACGGTCTGAACGCTAAGCTGTGTGTTGTCTGCCCCCCCTCCTCCTCCGCTCCGCTGCGAACCACGCACACTTTTTAGCGTTTTTTTTTAACTGTGGTGAGAACTAACCAATGCTGAAACATGGGTTTCATGACCCTTTAAATCTAGCTGTTTTGTAGTTCACATGTTGACATTTATCATTTAAAGGCTTAGATCAAGTGTGATTAGTTCAGTCATGTCAGTCCATGTGAGTGACATCACTGAATTAACTAGCTTCACATTATGCAGACTTTATATAAATGTCTGATCTATTCAGGAGAGAATTAGATTGATTGTGGTTTTACTCCAGTAAATAACGAGGTCAAACTCTGGAACAGAAGAGGAGTGACACGGTATTGAACAGCGGTGTGAATGAGCGAGCACAGCATTAGTTTGAGGAGTGTGTGGATCTGTACCTAAGCCTCCTGCGTGAGCGTCTATGAGCGAAGCGCCCACAGCGGTGCCCTGAATCAGACCCAGATCTGCAGCCGCCGCTGCGGTCAGACCTCGTCCTACTGGAGCCCCTGGACAACACGCCTGCTGGCCTTCAGCACAAGACAAGACCTCAGTCAGCAGAACCAGCTCAACTTACCCGGAGCACGATTCTCTCCTACCTATTTTGGAGTAACTGTTCTCCATCAGGTCCTCCAGACCGATGGCGCTCCAGAACGAGTCGTCCCAGCCATCAGATGGAGAATAGGTCCACTTACACACCAGAGTACATAAAGACCTGCGTCAGGAGACACAGCTGCTGTTTAGCTACTCGATATTCACCATCACTTCACTGGAGATATACATGACTCTCATTAGACTTTGCTCGATCGTTAAGAAATAGTTCAGCTAAAAATGAAAATGTGCTCACTCTCAGTCCATCCAAGATTAGGATGAGTTTGTTTCTTCATCAGGTTTGTAGAAATGTAGCATTGCATCAGTGTCTCAGCAATGGGTGCTCTGCAGTGAATGGGTGCCGTCAGAATAAGAGTCCAAACAGCTGGTAAAAACATCACAATAATCCACAAATCGGATTTGTTTCAGCTTCTGTCTTCTCCAGATGTTAACTGATGGACTGGAGTGCTGTGGATTACTTGTGGATTATTGTGATGTTTTTATCAGCTGTTTGGACTCTCATTCTGACGGCACCCATTCACTGCAGAGCATCCATTGCTGAGACACTGATGCAATGCTACATTTCTACAAACCTGATGAAGAAACAAACTCATCTTGATCTGGGATGGACTTTCTGCAAATTTTCATTTTTGGGTCAACTATTCCTAAGGATTGGGTTTCAGTTTGCTAAAGACTGTATTGTTACAATAGTTCTGCGATCCTTCTGCCTCGTGACCTGTGAGTAGGAGAGCATTAAGATGAGGCTGTTAACGAGTTTTTAATACTGTCTATCATTTAAACTGCAAAAACTGTAAAAACAGCATTAGAGCTGCTCATTTTCATGAATCAAAGTTCAATTTGTAACTCTATTCAACAATTCACTGCATCACTAGACATGTTCACAGAAGCCTCTGCAAATACAACAAATATGTGACCCTGGAGCACAAAACCTTAAGTGTCTTAAGTGTCAATTTTTCGAAATTGAGATTTATACATCATCTGAAAGCTGAATAAATAATCTTTCCATTGATGTATGGTTTGTTATGATAGGACAATATTTGGCTGAGATACAACTATTTGAAAATCTGGAATCTGAGGGTGCAAAAAAATCTAAATATTGAGAAAATCATCTTTAAAATTGTTCAAATGAAGTTCTTAGCAATGCATATTACTAATCAAAAATTAAGTTTTGATATATTTACAGTAGGAAATTTACAAAATATCTTCATGGAACATGATCTTTACTTAATATCCTAATGATTTTTGGCATAAAAGAAAAATCTATAATTTTGACCCATACAATGTATTGTTGGCTATTGCTACAAATATACCCCAGCGACTTAACACTGCTTTTGTGCTCCAGGGTCACATATTTCACTGATTTTTCATGTATTAAAATGAGTTGCTAAACAATTATGTAGGGTTAGGAATTGTTGCTTTTTTTTTTTTTTACTATGTGTTGGTAATACTGGTGCATAAAAACTAGAATAAATGTTTCGTTTGTACTTTAATTCATTTTATGAAAAACATGCATTGATTATTTTAACAAAATAACTTTGTTGTCCATGTCTTGCATGAAACATTTTATTTTGCTAAAGAGGTTAAAGTGATGACTCCTCTGATTTAAAAGAAAATAAACTGTTAAGTTATTTCATAGCAACTACATTAATATTAATATTTCTACATAATTAAATGCAACTATGTAAAGAAATATTTTTCATCATTCATTTGTCACTTTGGATAAAAGCGTCTGCTAGATGCATAAATGTAAATATTGAGAGATATATTGAACTTTTTTTTTCTTGTAGATAATGCCTGATGTTGTTATATTCCAGATGATTTTACTCCAGCGATCGGAGCATCATCAGCGTTCTAATGAAAGCTCACCTGCACAAAGAGCCTGTCGCTTTCCAGGACAGAAAGTCAGGAAGGTCAAAGAAGTGTGCCGCTTCTTTCCAGCAGGTTTCCCGCAGATTCTAATCACAGAATGAAAAACAGCGGAGTGAAACTCAAGATGATCAGAGTGTTTGTGGTGCTCACACTCCTCCTCACCTCTTTGAGCCACAGTAATTTGGGCGGCTGCATTTCCGGCGACATCACGCCGCCGACTCCCTGAAGCACTCTGTGTTTGGTGGCTGTGATCCGAGAGGCTTGTTCTGCGGCCCGGTGGTCCATCCACATCAGTACGTTCCTCTCCCGCACACCTGCGAGACACACATGAAACACACCTGTGACCGACTCGTGAAACACGCACCTGTGTGACTGACTCGTTAAAACACGCACCTGTGTGACTGACTCGTGAAACACGCACCTGTGTAACCGACTTGTTAAAACACGCACCTGTGTGACCGACTCGTTAAAACACGCACCTGTGTGACTGACTCACATGCGCACCTGTGTGACTGACTCGTGAAACACGCACCTGTGTGACCGACTCGTGAAACACGCACCTGTGTGACCGACTCGTGAAACACGCACCTGTGTGACCGACTCGTGAAACACGCACCTGTGTGACCGACTCGTGAAACACGCACCTGTGTGACCGACTCGTGAAACATGCGCACCTGTGTGACTGACTCAAATACGCATGCGCCCCTGTGTGACCGACTCGTGAAACATGCGCACCTGTGTGACCGACTCGTGAAACACGCACCTGTGTGACCGACTCGTTAAAACACGCACCTCTGTGACCGACTCGTTAAAACACGCACCTGTGTGACCGACTCGTTAAAACACGCACCTGTGTGACTGACTCACATGCGCACCTGTGTGACTGACTCGTGAAACACGCACCTGTGTGACCGACTCACATGCGCGCTGTTCCTGTCTCACATGCGCACCTGTGTGACCGACTCGTGAAACACGCACCTGTGTGACCGACTCGTGAAACATGCGCACCAGTGTGACTGACTCGTGAAACACGCACCTGTGTGACCGACTCGTGAAACATGCGCACCTGTGTGACCGACTCGTGAAACACACACCTGTGTGACTGACTCGTGAAACACGCGCACCAGTGTGACTGACTCGTGAAACATGCGCACCAGTGTGACTGACTCGTGAAACATGCGCACCAGTGTAACTGACTCGTGAAACACGCGCACCTGTGTGATTGACAGCCACGGGCTGGAAGTGCCGGTCCAGAGCCACCAAGGAGCAGGTGGCATCAAAGCCGATCCCTCGAACAGACTCCACATCAATGTCCTGAGTCACTCGCTATAACAACATGAACAAAGTGAAAAAAGATTACGCAACATGAAGATCTATGCAGAGATGTTTGCGTGACAGTGATGCAGGAGTGCGATCATCGCTGCTGACCTTCACAGTCCTGCAGCATTTGCTCCAGATATCCTCTGATGACTGCTCGTAATGATCAGCACACGGCTCCCAAATGTTAACCGGCTCCTCTGCTGTGTGTGTGACGTGACCGTCCCGCGTGACCAGAGCCGCTCGCACACTGGCAGTGCCCACGTCCACGCCAACATAATATCTGCTCATGTCACCGGGTGACCTGCAACACACACACACACACACACACACACACACACACACACACGGCTGTGTGTGTGTGTGTGTGAGAGAGAGAGAGTGTGTAGGCTATATAAGAAATATCTGACGGTCTCGTGCGCAGCTGGCTTCTCTGTTTGTATGTCGCTGTGAATCTTGTGTTCCGGCAGCAAAACTGTACCTGTAACTGTGTCGAGTGTCAGTCTGGAGGAATAAGAGCGGCTCACAGTCGCTTCAGCAGGACTTTAGTTTCAG